ATGACGGGAGAAGCCCTAAGAGCTCTTCTCCCCTGAAAATTAGATTGAAGCCGATTTCGATGTCTGGCTTGAAAACTCTGCCAGGGTAATCTGGAGAAAAACTGTGACACAGGACCACTGAACCCCTGCCCGAACAGTAACAGAGTGGCACTATCATTCGGGTTGTGATTTATGAGCCATGCTTGTTTTTCTACTGCTTTTCTAGTACCCTATGTGGTACCTACACAGCTTCCTAGTGTTAGTGACAAGACAATGTCTTGTCCTTGTTCACTCCTTCCAGGGATGGTGAGGCTTCCGCCGCCTATCTGATGCTTTTGTGTGCGTTAGTACAAGATGCACTCCTGCTCTCAACAGAACCAACCCGGCAGCAGAATGCAGGTGGTACAAGGGCTGATTTCAGCCCTCACCTAGGCAAGGCCCCTTTGGTGGGATTACAGCCTTTCAATTCAGGAGGCAATCCTAGAAACTGAAAGGTTTTTTGTTTTTTTTTTTTGTTTTATTTTATTTTTATTTTTTTGTTTTGTTTTTGTTTTTGTTTACCTAACCAGGCCCATCTTGGTACATTCAGGGGTAGGAAATAAGTTTTTATAAATATTGTTAACTTCTAGAATATAATTACGAGGGCACATAATGGAATCCCCCTTGCTGGTGGCAGAGAATGTGGTGTCTTTTAAATGGGTATTTTGGGGGTGCCTGGGTGGTTCAGTCGGTGAAGCATCTGACTTCAGCTCAGGTCATGATCTCATGGTTCGTGGGTTCTAGCCCCATCTTGGGCTCTGTGCTGATGGCTCAGAGCCTGGAGCCTGCTTCAGATTCTGTGTCTGTCCCTCGCCCACTCACACATTGTCTGTCTGTCTGTCTCTCTCTCTCTCAAAAGTAAATAAACATTAAAAAAAATTTAAAAAAAATGGGTATTTTGGGATGGTTTGAGCAAAGAGAATAAATTAGGCAATCTATACCTTTTTCTAAGTCCAACCTTTGATTCCATGCAGTGTTATTATTATGAAGTGGTTCTCAAAGTGTCATCCCTTGGACCAGAGGCATAAGTATCATCTGGGACTTGTGAGTAATGCAAATTTTGGAGTCCCAACCTTACCCTGCTGAATCAGAAACTGAGTATGGGCCCAGAAATCTGCCTAACAAGGTGTCTAGGTGATTCTTGTTTAAGAAGAACGGCTGTCCTAGATGATCCATAAAAGTTCCTTTCAGTACTGTCATTTACCTGAATTGTGCTGAACAGATGGCACTCGCCCTGGGCACAGATGACTTATTTCTAAATCACTTGAAACAGAAAATAGGACCAAGACAACTGGCATTTTATCAAGTTATTATCTTTCAGACTGTTTTCACCTTCAGGATCCTATATTTATACAAGACTAGAAAAATCTGTCTCCACTAATAAGTTTATTCTGCTGTACTAATAACAGTCGTGAGACCACCATTTAGACTGCAGTTAACTCTAGAAGCCCTGAGGGCTATAATGCTGGTAATACCCCCATAGGATACTCTTCTCATCCCTGTTATTATTCCTATAAGTATTTAGCAATTATTTAGCCTGGCAATTCTCTACTTCCCTGTGCTCTGAATGTGCCACTACTTTTATTTATTTATTCTTAAAGTTTTTAAATGTTTTTTATTTATTTTTGAGACAGGGCATGAGCAGGGGAGGGGCAGAGAGAGAGGGAGACACAGAATCTGAAGCAGGCTCCAGGCTCTGAGCTGTCAGCACAGAGCCCGAGCGGGGCTTGAACCCACGAGAGTGAGATCATGACCTGAGCTGAAGTCGGATGCTTAACCGGCTGAGCCATCCAGGCGTCCCTGTGCCAATACTTTTAGAAAACAAATCACAAAAGGGAGGTGTGAAGGTCTTTGAAAACGCAGGGGCGCCTGGGTGGCGCAGTCGGTTAAGCGTCCGACTTCAGCCAGGTCACTATCTCGCGGTCCGTGGGTTCGAGCCCCACGTCGGGCTCTGGGCTGATGGCTCAGAGCCTGGAGCCTGCTTCCGATTCTGTGTCTCCCTCTCTCTCTGCCCCTCCCCCGTTCATGCTCTGTCTCTCTCTGTCCCAAAAATAAATAAACGTTGGGAAAAAAAATTAAAAAAAAAAAAAAAAGAAAACGCTAGTGCATTCTTTACTGGATTTCCTGGAGTGATACTTATTGTTGGCTTGAATGGTAGCAGGTAGTGACTATAGTGGTTAGTTGTGAACATAGCCCAGTTGTACTATAGGCTTGTGTTTCAATCAACACCTTTCATCTGTAAAACACCCTGGAGCACACAGTGGGGAATATGATATGGAGATATGTAAGGCATCATCTTTTTCTTTCAGGGACTTCTAACATGGTAAAGGGAGTAAAATACGTACGTAACAGATAAGTGATGCAGACTGAGTGTCCTGAGAGAGAACCCAAGGGCTACAAGCTTTCAAAGAGCATAGAAACTTCTTTATACGTGGGTGATCAATGAAGCTTCATGAAGTGACATTTCAGCTGAGTCTTGAATACTTTTGAAAGGTAGGCGTATGCGTGTGCGTGTGTGTGGTGTAGTCCGTGTTTGTGCATGAAGAAGGTGGAGTCAAGAGCCAGCAATTGACTACTTGTAGCTCCAGTACCTAGTTCAGTGACTGGCACAGTGTAGATGTTCAATAACTATCATGTGTTCTGATTCATAGACAAACCATTGCCTGATTATCAGGGTTTTGGATTTTCCTTTCTTTGGAAAAAAAGACAAAAAGAAATAACTAAAATATAAAAATCAGAAGACATATGCTGATTTCAAAAGCATTCAGATGTGAGAGCAAAATGCTTTTTTGAATCTTGAGAATATGGTATTTGGTGAGTTTGAGTGCAGCAGAACTTTTGAGTACTAAATTGGAGGCATATCAATAGCCGGGATAGATACAATAGCTGCAAGGTAGATGGAGCCAGATTGTGTAAGGTCCTGGATTCCAGGACTTTTCATTTTTTTTTTTATTTATTATTTTTGGGACAGAGAGAGACAGAGCATGAACGGGGGAGGGGCAGAGAGAGAGGGAGACACAGAATCGGAAACAGGCTCCAGGCTCGGAGCCATCAGCCCAGAGCCCGACGCGGGGCTCGAACTCACGGACCGCGAGATCGTGACCTGGCTGAAGTCGGATGCTTAACCGACTGCGCCACCCAGGCGCCCCAGGACTTTTCATTTTTAACACAGAGTTGCTGAAGGATTTTTGAGCAGGGAGTCTGCCATAGAAAAAATAATAGAGTTAGTGAGAAAGTGGATATTGCTCTGATGAATAACAACAGAAAACCAAAATGTATTGAGCATTACATAATGACAAGAAATATGCTAACTGGTTTTGAATGTTATTTAATTCAGCAACCTTGGATATTATTCATCCCATCTTTCTGTTGAGGAACACTAGCTCAGAGAGGATTAAAAACTTTCCCTGGATACTGCTAGTGGATTGTGACATCGTTTGCTTTCCAACAAAAAGCTGACAGGTGTGAAACTGGAGACCAAGTAAGAGGACTATGAGCTATTGAATTTGGAGATATCTTGCGCTGGATAGCTTCTTCCCACATGTCAGTCTACTCTACAGGAGGCAGTTCTTTAGATCTAATACAATGCACAGAACTTCCTTGCCTTCTGGCTTCCAGTAGAGGTTAGCTAATGGGAGGAACTGGCAAGGGACCAAAGGGATGAAGGAGAATGAAGTTGAGGTGTCTCTTCCAGCTGCCATTCCTGGGACCTGGCTGGGTCACTGCTCAACTGAAGGTCACAACTCCTGGCCATCATCACATGAGAAAACACAGCTTACAATGGCATCGTTACGCTGATATGTGTTCAAATGTTTCTTCTTTTTTTTTTTTAAATTTTTTTTTTCAACGTTTATTTATTTCTGGGACAGAGAGAGACAGAGCATGAACGGGGGAGGGTCAGAGAGAGAGAGGGAGACACAGAATCGGAAGCAGGCTCCAGGCTCTGAGCCATCAGCCCAGAGCCCGACGTGGGGCTCGAACCCACGGACCGCGAGATAGTGACCTGGCTGAAGTCGGACGCTTAACCGACTGCGCCACCCAGGCGCCCTCAAATGTTTCTTCTTTCAAGGAGCCAGAAACTAGCCCATCCAGTGGTATAGTGCTGGTTCGAAGTAAAACGCTTATAACCAGACACTGACAATAAGAAGATTGCTCAGTGTGGAGAACCCAATAGCAAACCACAGTTCATGGAGCCCAAAGAGTCTCACCCTACTGATTTTCTCCTAGTGTTTCCCAGCCTTGGTTTGTAAAGGGCTGAGAAACTGATATCTTGAACTTGGCAAAGGTTAGCAAACCTCCCTTGCAGTGCTCATTGTATATATAACTTTTTTTTTTTTTATTTACAATAGTTGACTCCTTCATCCTTTCTCTGGGGGGGGGGGGTACCAAAATATAAAAGATAAAGGGATAAAGCTGAAAGTCTGGCGTTGGCCATTTCCCACACAAAAATCTAAGCCCCCTAAGTTATTTGGGCATTTGATGGCTTTCATTTAAAGCTAAAGATACATATTTTATTTAGGAACTTATATTTATAAACTTATCTATGTACAAGGTTTGTAGCAGAACTACTTCCAGCTGTGTATCCTGTAGCTCAAATTCACAACGGCTCCTTTCTTTCAAGGTAAAAGATACCAATAGCATATTAGATACTATTATCTTTATTACTTTAAAAAAATTGGGATGTTGTGAGGATTTACCCAGCTAATACATGCAAACTGCTTAGCCTAGGGTCTGGCGCAAAAGTCACTGCTACAGGAAAATAAATTAACAGTTACTGAGCACCCACCACTGTGCCACGCAGTGCAGAGCTTTCCCATAGTTGATGGCATTTAACTACCCTTAGTCCTAGCAAGGAGTTCGGGATGCTAAGTGCTGAGCCGAAGGACAGGCGTGCTGAGGTCCTCACCGACACAGGGAGGGCAAGGGGGCGCGGGAGCGCGCGTCCAGAGGCGCAGGCGCGGCGGCGCGCGCTCATCCTCCGCTGCGGGGGGCGCTGCTTGTTGCCTCCACTCGCCGCGCCGCCGTCGCCCGCGTCAGGCCGGCTCCATGAGGACGAAGCACGTGAACGTGCTGATCGCGCTGGCCGCCTTCGTGCTTTTCAGCTTCTCCTGCTTCTGCATCTCCAGGATGACTCAAACTAGTAAGCTGAGGGTGGCTTCTCTGCCCCCTTTGCCACCCCTCCGACTTCGGGGCTCCGGGATTGCCGGGGCGGCCGGGTGGAAGAGAAGGGGGGCGACGTGAGAGCCTGACACTGTCACCCACTCTCCTATAAGGTGTTTTACAATTGTAGCCCTACCCCCGACCCCAGGCTCCTGTCCGACCGGCGGTTAAGCTATAACGGACGCCCCTAGTTTACCCCGGCGGCCGCGACCCCCGCCAGGCGCGCGCGCTAACCGATTGGCCTGCGGGGACCTCCCGACGCCCTCCTGCCTGCGCACTCGGTTTCCCTCCCAAGGTTCAACGGCCCAGGGTGTTCCCTGATTCCCTGCCGCCACCAGCGGCTTCCTCTTTCCCATCGTTTCCAGAAACGGGTGAATGTCCGACTTAAGAACCCTTTCCACTTTCGTGTTCCACCGTTAGATTATGGAGCCACCTTTGAAGGCTCCCGAGAGTATTTTTTTGCGAAGCCGAAAAGGGGTGAGATGATGGAGAGAGACAACTTAGAGCACTGGTATAGCAGCCGAACATTCTCAAGTGGGCCATGTGTCTTGCGTTGCAACTTTGAAACGCGTTGCAACTTTGAAACACCAAGATTTTAATTCATTTTGTTTATGGGGTTCTCAATTTGAAATTTGCCCAGTGAAATTTGAACTTTAGATAAACAATGAGTAAGTTTTTAGTATGAACATTGCACGGGGGTTGAGGTGGGAGGTAGGACTCCTGGGTGGCGTAGTCAGTCAGTTGAGCATCTGTCTGACCCTTGATTTTGGCTCAGGTCGTGATCCCAGGGTTGTGGGATCAAGCCCTCCCACCCCCACCTGCTTGGCGCCGAGCTTGGAACCTGCTTAGGATTCTCTCTCCCTCTGCCCCTCTCTCCCACTCGCTCGCTCTCTTTTTTTTTTTTTTTTTTAATTTTTTTTTTAAAGTTTATTTTTTTGGGGACAGAGAGAGACAGAGCTTGAACGGGGGAGGGGCAGAGAGAGAGGGAGACACAGAATCGGAAACAGGCTCCAGGCTCTGAGCCATCAGCCCAGAGCCTGACGCGGGGCTCAAACTCACGGACCGCAAGATCGTGACCTGGCTGAAGTCGGCCGCTTAACCGACTGCGCCACCCAGGCACCCCGCTCGCTCTCTTTTTAAAAATAAGTTTTAAAAATTATTAAATTAATTAATTAATTAGTTAAATTAATTATTAAAATTATTATAATTTAAAAATTAAGTTTTAAAAACTTAATTTAAAAATAAGTTTTAACTAGATTTCCTGTATTTTATCTTCCAGCTCTTCTTACCCAATGTCTAGTGTAACATTTTAGCGTCCATATAATTGGATTTTGAATTTAAGCTCAAGAATCCTGTAAACATATTAAGTCTTCCACGATTGCTCTTAGGTTGTTTCAGGTTAAATTTTCATTCATTTTTTTAATGTTTGTTTGTTTGTTTATTTATTTATTTAGAGAGCACACAAGCAGGAGGAGGGGCAGGGAGAGAGAGAGGGAGAGAGAGAATCCCAAGCAGGCTCCATGCTGTCAGCACAGAGCCTGACCTGGGGCTCAAACTTACACACTGTGAGATCATGACCTGAGCCAGAATCAAGAGTGGGAGGCCTACTGGACTGAGCCACCCAGGCACACCGAATTTTCATTCTTACTAAACACATTTATGACTCAGGTTCACACAAAGTAACCTTGGTGGTAGTGTCAAGGATCAAGTGTGGAAGTGGTTTATTCCTCTAATTAATACTTAATTTTGTCATGTACACACAATATCGACATTCTATTCCGTTTGTTTCAGAGATTAGACATGTGTATTAATCTGATTTATGCTACTAATATTTGATCATTTTGTACACTTTCTCTCTGTTTTATTTTCTATAAGGAACGTTATCCAAATGTGTTTTTATGTATTTTAGGACAATAAATAATTTGCACTTTTATAACAAAAATAAATAAATCATAACTCATAATGAGAAAGCAAAACATAAACTCCTTTTTCTAGCAGTTTTGGAAGGCAATTCACTTTAGTAACCTCAGAAGGCATTTTAATACAGTTAATATTATTAAAATGAAACTGTGGACTTCAGACAACTGGAGAAGTGGAGGTGCCATGTACTGGAATGGTGAAGGCCGGGACAAGGGCAGATCGGGGTGAAATGAGTATTTCCGTGGCGCCTATTAGACATCCCAATGAAAGTATTAATAGGAGATTGGCTATGTCATTCTGGGTCAGGACTGGGGACAAAAATTGGAGAGCTGTCAGCATACAGTATTTAAAGCTACGAGATTGGATGAGATCATATAGGGAGCTGACATAGATAAGGAAAGATTCCAAAGACTGAGCCCTGGGGAATACTAACATTTCAAAGTCAAGGAAAAACTAGGAAACTGAGAGAGCCAAGAAAATATTTCAAGGAGGAGAGTTTCACAGTGTCAGAAATGCTCATGAAGTTCTTCAGTACAGGAAGAAACACCCATCCACTTGTAATCCTTAAAGTCCTCATTCCTGTATTATTGGTGAATGCCGCAGCCACTTCCTCTGCAGGCTACAGTCTGAGAAGGCACTTCCCGGTCAAGCACAGAAGACCAGTTAGGTAAGTGTTTTGCCAGTGCCTGTCCCAGACTTCCAGTATCCCGTCTTCTCTGGCAGGTGGTAGGCTATCCCTGCATTTAAGCCCAAGTAGGGCACATAAGCCCATGTAGGGCAGATAACCAATTCCAGGTCCTCTCCTGAGTGTGTTTCTGGGTAATGCAGCATTTAGTGCCACTGCCCATGGAAAAGCTACCTCCCTGGAAAAGCCAGCACTGGCCTGCCACTCCCATTGGCAATAGTGGGGCTGCAGTTGGCCTGCTGCTGCCTGAACATCTGACACTCCAGCAGGAGCTAGCAGTTCGGTGGAGGAACCACCAGAAGCAGGAGGACTCCACCTTTTTGCAGCCTCCAGTCTGGCACAACTGCCTCCCCTTGGCAAAATGTGATGACAGCATGGCTGGTAAGGAAGTCTGGGACAAGTAGCAGACTTCTGGTTTTAATCAAACCAAAGAGGATCTAGAAGGGGCACATGAAGACTGGATGTCAGCACACAGAGTCCAGGAACAAGCCAAACTAAATAGCACATAGTGAAGGGATGTATATAAGTTGATAAAAACTGTACTCTAAAAAGCAAAGGAACAATAAACAGCTCAGGAGAGTAGTGACATTAGTGACATGGGATGGGACAGGGATCCACTCTTGGAAGCAAAGGCACTGGGCGGTGTTCAAGTTAGTAGCTTGGGTGATAGGTTACCTGGGTTCATTTCACATTATGCTACAGAGCTTACCTATGTATTCCACATTTTTCTTTTGTATGTATAAAGTTATTAAAAATCAAAAGAATTTGTACAGTGTAAATATGAAAGCAAGAACACTGAAATGATAGGAAGCATATGGTACTCCGTTCACTTGAGAATATAGAAACAATCAGAATGCATTTTTAAGACACTTTAAAATAAATGCCAGTACTCTTACAGACATATGTAATTGATTTACTTTAAGTTTATTTATTTTGAGAGAGACAGAGACAGTGTGAGCAGGGAAGGGGCAGAAAGAGAGGGAGGGAGAGAGAATCCCAAGCAGCTCCGTGCTGCCAGCACAGAGCCAGACACAGAGCTTGAACTCATGAAACTGTGAGACCATGACCTGAGCCGAAACCAAGAGCTGGATGCTCAACCAACTGAGCCACCCAGGCACCCCTGTAATTGACTTTTTAAAAATATTCATTTAATTCGAGAGAGAGAGAAAGAGAGTACAGCAGGGGAGGGTCATAGAGAGGAGAGAGGATCCCAAGCTAATAGCACAGAGCCCGATGTGGGACTAGATCCCACGAACCATGAGGTCATGACCTGAGCCGAAATCAAGAGTCAGACCCTTAACCAACTGAATCATCCAGGCGCCACCCCATACCCCTTGTAACTGATGTTTAAAAGCAGTTCAACTTGTGAGGGTTATAAATATGAGTGACTTTTGTTTTTCCAATAATTGCCCATGTGTGTTCCGTCAAACACCCTATTCTGTTGGCACAGAGATTCATAGTGATATTTAAGATGTATTCTGTATCTCTTGTGTTTATTTTTGGTTATTCAAACAGTCTCATTCCTGTTACTAGAGACCCTATCCCATTCTTTTTAGAACTTTAGCCTCATAGTCAATTAAGGGCTTTCTTTTCCTTTTCCTATGGGACAGACCAGTCTTGTGGTTCTAGGAAAACTCAGTGGCAAGAGAAGAAAATGATGTGTTCTGAGACACTTGTCCTGGGATTGGTGTAAAACTTCCCCAAATCTTAGTGGCTTAAAAACAATAATTTTGTTTAATTCTTGGTTTACAAAGAAATTTAAATCAGAAATTTAGGATGGGCTCTGCTGAGCGATTTGTGATCTGCAGTGGTATCAGCTGGGATCCTTGGGGCTGGAGAATCTCCTAAGAGGCTTTCTCACTCTGGCATTTCTCTTGTCTCCCCACATGGTGGCTTATCCTCCATGGCCTCTCCACTTGGCCTGGGCTCCTCATAGCATTGTGGTCTCAAACAGAGTTTGAACTACCCTTCAAAAGGCAGGAAGTGTTAGTTTCCAAGCCAGTTAGGAAACTGCCCCCCAAATTAGTACTGCCTTACTTCTGCCGTAGTCTGCTGGTCTGTTTTTGTTTTTTTAATTTTTTTAACGTGTATTTATTTTTGAGACAGAGAGAGACAGAGCATGAACGGGGGAGGGTCAGAGAGAGGGAGACACAGAATCCGAAACAGGCTCCAGGCTCTGAGCTGTCAGCACAGAGCCCGACGTGGGGCTCCAACTCACAGACCGCGAGATCATGACCTGAGCCGAAGTCGGCCGCTTAACCGACTGAGCTACCCAGGCGCCCCTGCTGGTCTGTTTAAAACCATCATGGGTTCGTCCAGAATCGAGGGAACAGAGAAACTGAATAACTCTTGACGGGTGACTGCAGAAGAGCATT